CAACCTCAACGCGTCCATTTTCAATTACGGTGTACAAAAGAAAAACTTGTTTCAAATTACTTTTAAAAGCAATGTCATGTTCCAAGCGCTGCGACCACGGACCAAACTAATACATATTTTATCTTTATATTTGAAAAACCTTTTGCGCATGTCTCTTTACACATTTCTCCCACTGGACAGGGTGGGGAAGCTAGGTCAGTTTAAATGTGTAGTACAGGTGTATATTACACATATGTAAATGGTGTTGTGAAAGAAATTGTGAATTCAATTCAATTCTGCATTAGACTTATTAAAAGAAACAGGGAAATACTATTAAATAAAAAATGAACTATATATCCCCGTATAAAGCCATGCCAGGTCAGGCTATTTGTAGTTTTAATATAATAAAATACATAATTTAATATTTTTTAATATTTCAAATATTATTTAAAGCTGCAAATAGAGTATTAAAAAAGTCGGGAGTCGCCGAGAGGCACATTTTAATTAGTTTTTGATTGATTTCATTGATATCTTAGCCGATTGCACAAAAGGCCCATAAATTGGAATTATTAATTCATTTCAATTAATTTCACCTTATATATGTTTCTCGCCACAAAGATAGTGAGCCTCAAACGAATTATTATCACCTTTGACGTGGTAGTTTAAAAATTCAACTGTTTTGCGCCATTGCGAAATGTTTCAAGAAAAATTAAAAACAATAAAGTTATATTCGAGTTTTGTTTTTGTTTAAGTCAGCAAGTTGATAAGTAAAGCAAGTAAAATACATTTGTATGAGTGTAAGCCAAAGATAACCAAACAGCCAAATCAATCTGACACACACTTAAGATCAGTTATGGTTTTGCCCAGATAGTAAATTTGTATATACAGACTTTGACTGGCGAATTTGTGGACACTGAGAAAAACCAAGTGTTATGTTATGTAAATACTACATAGATAATAGGTAAAGTAAAACATATATAAATAGATATAATAAACATGCAAAGGCCTCAGTTTTTCATAAATGTGTGGTCATACATTAATCTTAGCGTATTATCTATATTTTACGAAGTATAAGCATAATGTTACAAATCTTTTGGGCATAGAAAAAATAATTAAGATGAAAATCCCTTTGATTTGATTAAGCTTTGCGGAAATTGGATAGATTATAGATTATTTATGTTAAATTTACACGTAATTATTAGGGCATATATTCTTATCTTAGAACACAAATTTTTTTAATTTTATATATTTTAGAAAATCGGCTTAACAACAAAATGTTTGCATTTTTTTTTAAATATTTTCTAATATTTTTTGATAAGATTTTCTTAAAAACAAAAATTAATGGAAGTTAATAAAATGTTTGATAATATGGCAATTTTCGAAAATTAAGGCAATATTTTGTTGTTTTGATATCAGCAACTATATTGATAAGCGTTCGGGCCGCATATGTGCTCAACGGCAGGAAGCACTTCGTGGCTGTTAGACTCGTAGACTTCGCAAAGATAAAGCGGACGATTGCCGGGTTGGGCAGTTAGCGTAATGATTGCTACGATTAGTTTGGCCGCAATGTCAACAAGAGGTAGAGGTAGCTTTGTCAAGCTGACGCTGCTGTCGCTGCTTGTGATGTTTGCGCTGTTGTTGCTGCTGACCACACTGCACAGCGGGGATCGGGAGTTGCGGGCTGAAAAAGTGTTTGTGGAGCAAGTGCAGCACGTTAGGACGTCGGCTGGCGCATTGAAGGGGACACCGCCACCGGTTCAGACTCTGGAGGAGCCAGTTGATGAGGAACTGGTGCAACAGCTGGAGCACGAACTGCCCGAGGTGGACTACGGCTACTGGTATCGCTATGCGAAGCCAAAAAAATATCGCAAGAACGAAACATGCGCCCTGTATCCGGATCCGCTGGATCTGCATCTGCACAACATTTACTGGCAGACCTTCATCAATGCAAACGTGACCTTCCGTCTGTATGCCGCCTACCTGGACCTGCGTCCCGGCGTTAAGTTGCCAAAGGGCGTGGTGCGCGTTCTGGCCACGGCCAATCAAATCAACAATGAGTTCCCGCCGACCCATTGCCAGCTGTGGTATGCGGACCACAAAGAGCCCATCATGACGCGGGTCAGCGAATATTTGAGCATATGGATCAGCAGCTGGGGCCATACGCCACTGCTCAACTATCCTCATCTGTTAAGCTGCCCGGTGCCCGATTTGCCGCCGAATCTGCAAAACGTTACGCCGCGTACCGTCTCTCTGGTCACCGCAAGTTGTGAGCGCGCCAGCAATTCGCTTCGTGTCCACTACGATATCCCTACAGCCTTAAATAACACTGTCAAGGCCAGCTCCGGATCCAGCCTGAATTCCACATCCAGCAGCAATGCAACGGCCAAGCTCAGCTTTGGCGTATGCGTGAAGGGCTTTGATTTTCCGTACATGGATCTATCGGAGCGTCTAATCGAGTGGTTTGAGCTGCAGCGCCTGATGGGTGCCTCACGCGTCTACGCTTACATGTACGACGTGCATCCAGCGGTGCAGCGGGTCTTGGACTACTATCAGCGCATTGGCTACCTAGAGTTGCGTCCCCTTACGCTGGCCAACGGCATGCCACGGCTGCGACACTATCAGCACCTGCTGCTGCAGCAGCGCCGTCTGGTCAAGCGGCTGAACGAGCTGATACCCTACAATGATTGTTTCTATAGGAATATGTATCGATATGACTATTTGGTTAATGTAGATGTCGATGAGGTGATTATGCCGCTGGGCACGCTGCGAAGCTGGCAGGATGTGCTGGACACGGACCAGGAAGCGACCATTGCTAAATGTCCCAATGGCCATGTCTCTATGTGTTTCATCAACGCCTACTTCACCAAGGTGGTGCCCGAGGCCCAAAACCACGAGCAGCTGGAGGCCGACCAGCTCTATGTGCTGCAGCACACAATGCGTCATCGCAACTACTCTCTTCCAAATCGGGCGACCAAGTGCTTCCATAACACGCGCTACTCGCTAACGCTGCACAATCACTTTACCCTCAAGTGGCTGCCAGGTAGCTGCAATCCGCGATCCGTAAGCACGGAGCTTGCCCACATGCAGCACTATCGCGAGCCGGATGCAAGTTATGAATTGTCGGAGCTGGTTGAAGATCGCAGCGCTTGGAAATATGCTAATGAGCTGCGTGCGGCAGTCGAGTACGTCTGGATGCATCTGGACGATGTGCTCGAGCAGAGTGTGGGTACGGAGGAGCAGAATGCATTAGAGGATTTGGAGGAGCAAGAAACAGATCTGGAGCAGGCGCAAGAGCAGCAACAAATGCTACAGCAGGCGCAGTCTGCAAAAAACACGAATTAGTTATTACCTTAAATAACATAAGGACATTTTTTTTTTGTTTTTTGGGACGTACTTTTTTTCCTATTATTTGTAAATATTTTACTTTTTAGACTACAAGAACACTTCCAGGGCTTGGGTTTTTACTTGTTTGGATAGTTGTTCGCACTTATAACTTATGTATATAAATAATATTAATAATTATAAGAATTATTTATCCAGAGTATACTTGGAACCTAACAAATAAACTATCTGGTTGTGAAAAACTAAACTATCTGAGTTTACCAAAGAAATAATCACCCAAAAGTCCAGAAATAATTTCAAGATCAGCTTACTATATAATATAACTGCAAAAGAAATTGTTGCTCTAAATGTGCTATGCTTTAAAAACGACTTGAAAGATCTGAAGGCGTATTAAATCTTGTACAGCCCGAAGTTAAGTATTTTATTTCGATATCTATACTTTGGAACAAATATAGAACAAGGGTCATAAGTTTGGCGGTTCGGCTTTCTAATATACATATTATAAATAAATATAATATAAAATATTAATATATTAGCAGAGCTAGAGACATCAAATGTTGTATGCTGGCTCTCATAAAGTCAAAAGTCATAAAGTCATAGATATGCTACGTTTTTTGTATGGATCCAATTCCACTTAAAAATAAAAAAAAAAAAAACATTTCTTTTCCTCATTCATGAAGAGCATTGAGCTTTTGTATATGCAGACTCTTGTGTGGCCCCGAGAGTTTCATATGACTTGGACTTAAAACATCTAAGTTACCTTTCCCACAGTGTGTGTCAAACAGGAGAATAAGCTTGCTTGTGTGTGTATATATTCTGTGTATATACTTATATATGTGTAGATGGAGCCTAGAAAGCTTCTAAGCGCAGTTTGGCGATGGGTTCATGGTATCTGCTAGTCGGGCACTCCCGAGCAGAGTACCAACTAAAAACTGTGGCTTTAATACGAAACGAATCCTCCCGGTTACTCCTACAACATTTACTTAATTAAATTTTGTTCAATTAACCATACATCTGTTGCTTTTCACATATAAAACTTATAATTGAATGTATCAATCACGAAATGTGCACATTCGACATATTTTTCATTTATTCGCTTCAGCATGTAATTGCGTACTTTCCCGCTCCAAATATCTATGACGTCTTCTCATTTCTATCCGCATTTATATACATACTTACCAATGCTAGTCTGATTACCGCTCATATTAGGCATTTGCCTGATACTGCGGCTACCCTATACAACAAGGTATATATTGGGTATATCTGCGTGGGCGTACACTCAAAGAATAAATTATTATAATTTTACTTGGTCACAAATTCCATTAATGTTCGGGTCGGCACTATCTAGGCATTATACTAAGCCTGAATTTCGGCAGTAGGTATATCCACTAATATATTAGCGGACAGCGCAAAAGTATGCAATTCTTCGTGCATGCGTGACTCAGAGGCAGAGTCTTACAAATGGAGCCTTATCACATCGAATTTCGTATTGTCTGAATCATCGACTCTGTTTGTTTTATGTGTCAAGTTCTTGAACTTTGTTTGCATGGGAAAAAGGAGCATGTGAATTCAGGGCAAAGCTGATTCTGAAAATATGATTCGATACATACGAAGATTTGATAAGAATGGTCAAGCGCTGCATATCAATACATGAAGTATTTATATAAACTACAAATGTGTTCTTATGTTTATCGAACCGAATGCTTGATATCTTTATGATATTTCCTGATGATTAGGCAATCGTTCGATTTGTTGCAGATATAAATAACCCGCAAAAAGAATTAGGTAAATATACATTTTCTTGAAATATGGCATACAATTGTGTACCCAGCTAATCCCTTGTCCAGACTATACAAGAGTACCTTGAAATTCCACACGTTGCCGATTGGTAGGGTAGTTGCCGGCACACATGCATATCGTAATCGTTTGTTTATTATAAGCAATAAATAAAGTAGTCATTATATTACAAAGTACCGTACATTAGTATTTAAACAAAAACGAAAAAAATAATAATGATAAAATACATACGAATACTTGCACAATATGCAGGAAATGTTATCACTACTCTCATTATTGCAGATTGGGAGAAAAAAAAAAAACAAAAAAAAATGTATATATGATAATTGAAATAACGCATTTATGAGTATGAAATTCTAAATGCTAGCCTAGTAACGCAGCATGAAGGCGCCCAGCGTGACGGCCAAGGTGCCGCCAAGGGTCGTGACCAGAGTGCCGGCACCGTCGCCGCCGCCAGTATTGTTGGCGCTGGCCAGCAGAATGGGACGCTCGTTGGCACGTGCATTCATCCACGCCTGGCAGTCGGTCTCGTTCTTCACAAAGCGGAAAATTGACTGCACAATGTTGGCGGGCGTGATCTCGGCACACTGTTCCAGATGATGCAGCACACAGGCCTCGAAGCTCTGCAGGTCCACGCAGTGTGTGGGCGAGAAGAGCAGCTCGGGTCGGCTCATCAGATCGGGTACTTGGCCATCCTTGGGTATATACTGATGGAATGATCTGTTCAGGCAGTTGCTAATGCTCTCCTTGTTGGCCTCAAGGCACTCGGGTCCTTGTTCGGCAACAAATAACGCAATCTGATCACCGCCGCGCGAGCAGGCGAAACCCAGCAGTGAGGCACCAAGGCGCATCATGGTGGCCTGTTGTCGCAGCTCCTCAGCGGTTAGGCAGGGTTTCACCTTCGCATTGAATGCGCGCACGCACTCCTCGGCCTCCGGTGCACGCTGGCAATACTTGTTGAACACGGTATCCAGCTCACCAATTGGCCGGGCTGCCTCCATTTCAGCCTGGAGCGCCGTCAGATTGGCCAGGCCGCTGAGACAGGAGCCCAGCTTTGCGGCAGCATCCTCGATATCTTGATACAACGTTGAGTTATCCGTGCCTGTCACCTTCTTGCACTTATCGCGATAGACGCGCTTAATATCATCTGTGAACGATAGACGATCCACGATTGATTTCCAATTAATTACGATTATGTCACAGGTTCAGGAGCTTACCCATGCTGACGTTTGTATTGCGAAACTCCGGTGGCAAAAACTGGGCAGAGACGCTTTCCAACTGGCTGCTGCTCAATTTTTGCGGACTAGGGCTGGCCCGCACCTCCAGCAGCAGGGCGCCCACGGCAGCCAACAGGCACACGGCCAGCAATGCGTATTTGTTCATAGCGGCTTCTGCAGAGAGGCGACTCCAACGACTTGAGTATGCGATCGGTTAGTTATCGATGCTATTGCGGTCTCCGTGCCTCCGTACAGTGTGCGTTGCGGCGAGTGAATGAGAGCGGTTGTCGTTCAAAAGCGCGAGCAAGTACGACTCGGCTGCGCACAGTGGTTAACGGTGTGCCAAAAAGTGACAACTTGCCGAATGTCAGTGGTATCAGTCTGAAGCCGATATATATTTATCAGTAAATTGTCATTAGGGGGGCAAACTAAAAGGAAAAATCTTGCAAATCTTATTGGTTTAAACGTGTGTGTGCGTGATCTTATTTATCGAATAAATTTGTTCCTTACTTTGGCAGCTTGAAAGAATGTTCTTACTGATTGCTTTCATACATATTTTTTATATATATAATAAATAAATATAATTTCTATATATAATAAATAAATATAATAAATAAATAAATATATATATTTATTTATGTACTTTCGCTATTACTAAAAATATTGTTTATCAGCAATTCATTAGAGATATGATAAGAACACACGGTGGCGCATCGTTGGCGTCGTTTTGCACACTTTTAACTAACAGTATGACATAATTTACGTTGGTCCGTTGAGGATTTTGCAACATTGGACATAGTGTGCAAAGGGTAGAGTTGTCTGACGTTGGGTGGTGGCTCGATTGATGTACGGCTAGTGGCTCACCGTGTCATAAAACTGGCCATATTCAAGGGTACATGGTATCTGTACACATGCATGTATGTATGTAAATATGCAAACAGCTCATGCTTACTCGCACCTAATATATATATGTTTTCCGTTAATTGTACGCCTATCTTATCTGAGTGTTGCCTATAATGTTTATTTGTACGCTTATTGCATTATCGATGTTTTTGACCGTCCGTCCGTTTAGTAACAGAAACGGAGTCACTGACGGAGCCGCCCTTAGGCGAATTGATAAGACCACCTACTAGAAAACTAGAGCGATAATAACGAAAAGCCAAAATGAACAAAGACAGCTAAAAAAATATCGTCATCCACGACGGCCTCGAGCATTTTATTGCATAGTTTGCGGAATTTTCATTCGGGTTTCAAGTGGAAATTAAGCCAGCTAATTCCATGCAACTGTTGATCTTCAGTTTCACACTTCGTTGTTATTGTTGTTTATGCTGCAAATGTTTTTTTTTTATTTTCTCTTTGTTTTTTAAAGCTGTTTATATGATATTTAATATGGTTGATACAGTTCTTAATAATTTTACAGCGGGCACCATTAATGCTTCACGCAGTTCAGAAAAAAAGAAACGCATAAGCTTAAAGAGACATAAGCTTGAAAAAACGATGTGTCTGTAAAGACAGTATTACGCATTATAAGGCTCTTTGTAGCTATGACGATCTTTAATTTGAGAATATAACTGATCTGACATTTTAGACCCGGCCAAGTCGTTTTTATAGTCACAAATAATAGGGAACTTAATTCTACGAATCAAGTAATTGTTTACTTTACCAGAGCTAGTTATATGCGATTATAAATTTGTTGCCGCAATCATTTTTTTTTTTTTTTGTATTATAATGCGATTCAGAAGCTAGCTTTATATTACTACAGATACCGTTGCAATTTGATACTTTTGATGAGAATGTGCAGTTAATAAAATGTAATAGTTAATTTATTGCTCAAGTCGTTTACATTATGACACTTATTACCATTCGCTGGGCCTTAATCACAACCCACACACATCCAGCTATCAAGTACGCTGTAAGTTGTGCTTAAATCCAATTAGCCGATCTTCATCATATATATCGCTATATACATATATATCTGTCCAGCGCTGCCTCGTCTGCGAGCTGAGCTTAAGCCCTGTAAGAGCAAAAGCTCAAGTTCATGCTTGAAAACCGGTTGGATCCGACGCCGCGAAAACCAAACGACATTCAACATTTTACTGACGTTCAAAGTTCGACAGCAACAGTCAGAGCGGTTGCTACGTAATGACTGCGATAAGCTTTTATCGCTCTATTGCCCCATATGAATAAAATAGAAAATCGGGAAGCGCAAAGCAGCATGCCGCAGGCAAGCACTGTGCTCCCTCAGGGCAAAGTACAGCCAAGAGCAATCGCAGAGCTGAACTAAAGCAGAGAGAGACTTGTGTTTTGAAGATTTAATACCTTGACCGGCATTCCAGTCGCGCTGTCGGGAGCGCATTGTGTGAAACGTTGTGCTCATATGGCTTAGGGTAGCTGAGAAAGAGTGTAGCGTGTGCAATAATAGCTATTCATTTGGATTAAAGCTTTGTCGCGCCAGACTTCCATGTTGTGCAAGTAATTTTCTGGGTCATGGCGTCTTCGCTGCCTCGCACTATTGTAGTTCAGAGTTTGGTGGACTGTGTTGACTTCTAAACAGAAGATACTTTCTTAAACTGGTTTAAAGGTTCTCAGTTAACATTTTTTACTACCCAAATGACGGATGTCATTTAATGTTATCAAATTCGAAAGATATGTCACTGAGAAATTGAAATAGATTCATCGGTCGCAAGCAACAATTATATAAAGCAGTAAGAGTGCCCGACTAACAGATACCCTCTACAAGATGCCATCACAAGCATTCGATATCCGTTTGAAATGAACTTGAACTGCATTTGCTTAAGAAGGAACTCCGATCTAAATTTCAAGTCTTTATCGAGGACAAACGAAGACACCTTCTTCTTTGAATAAGGCTGCATCGTCACGTTGGTAGTCGGGGGCGCTTCCTATGGATCTTCCATTGAGCCTCCTGACTACTCACCTCCCAGCTCTTGCTATCCGGTTTTGGAGTGTCTGAATCCGTCTTCGATTTGACCGAGATGCAATGCCCCAAGCCTGGATAACGTATCTCCAAGTTGGCGGCACCACGACGTCGTAAACTGCCAGTTTGCAGCAAGTGACATTGGGTTGTTGGGCCTTAGAAGCCAGTTGGCCTTGGCCATCTTAAAGCGTCACTGCTTGAGAAGATCGTCGATGTGCGCCCGAAAGGTAAGCCGTTTATTCAGTACAATTCCAAGATACTTGGCGCTTCTGCCAGGGTGAAGGGGACTGCCATCTATCCAGACTGGGGCCTTGCCACGCCTCATTGTGTAGAGAGTTGTTTATCTTTCAGCATATGTGCCCACTTTTCAACCCATTTGCAGACATTAATTAAATAAATTAATTAATATATAATAATTAAATATATGAATAAATATGTATATATTAATTAAAAATATAAATATTTTTTTTAAATATAAAAAAATTGTTATTATCAGAGTTATCCGTTAAAATACAGCATGAGTTAAGTATTTAACAAATAAATGTATATTTGTTAGATGTATGATGGAGTTTAGTGAGGTAGGTATGTTGACGGTATTGGAATTTAATTATTTTCCCAAATAATAATTTAACTTATAATAAACAACAAAATCACGCGCAACATGACTCTAATAATAGTAATGAATATCAGAAGCATTTAGTATTTAGGAAACTTCATCTAATAAAACTCCTAATAATAAAGAATAAAAAAAAATATCTATGTCATACCTATCGCTTCTTGTAGCTTACGTTCATCGTCTTTTCGGCGTTGAATCTCGGCGTTGACCACTTGGCTTATATCGGGCAAAAATCCCAACTTCTTATATTTGGCATAGACACGTTGTTGAAGCATTGGCTGAAAGCGCCAGATGTTGTCGTCTATAATGGGATCGATGAGGCATGTCTTGTTATCAGGCTCGCGGTAATGATGCAGCTGGGCAAACTCAACAGGCACTGACTTGGGATCGCATTCACCGTTTTTCGCGTGAATGAGGCGGATGTGATTATGCAGTCCAATCGCATACCGAGTGGAGTGCAGGCATTTGGTAGCCGAAAACCGACCACTGTGCTCTGCCACGCGTTCCACATGCTGCAGCATATAGTAGAAGCTTGGCAGCTCCTTGTACACCTTGGGCCGCTCCGGGTAGCGGGGAAAGTATACGTTCCGAAAGCAAAAACTTGCCCAGTTTGTGCAGTTCGCGTGCGCCCTTTCATAGTCGGGCACCTTGTGCGCCAGCTCGATCAGACTGGACCAGTTGGTTACGTTGCCCAGCGGCATGATGATTTCGTCGATGTCAAAGACGCCAACGTAGTCGTATTTATACATGTTTCGATAGAAGCAGTCGTTGTAGGGTATCATCTCATTCAGAATGCGATTAAAATTGTCGACACCCATGGCATAATGATGAAAGTGGCGACCCGTGTGCGGCACTCCACGTGACATCGACAGAGGGCGCAGCTCGACAAAATCAGGACTATTTTCTATATAATCATTGATCACTCGCGTCATATTCGGATGCATCTGAGCATCGTAGAAGACCACCTTGCCGGCGCCGAGCAGGCGCATAAGTTCGAGCCATTCGATTAGCCGCGAGGACATGTCTACGTAGAGAAAGTCCATGGCCTTGACGCACACCATAAATCGAAGAGGCTTATTTGGTTTTGGGTTATCCTTTTGGTCCTGCTCCTTGCGCGAAGCAGATGGCAAGATGTCTGTACTGCTCTCATCCCGTTCGTACACGACGCGCAACAGATTCCTAGCCTTCTCACAGCGCTCTGTTACCAGCGACACCATCTCGGGCACCTCTTCCATATTGGTGCCGTTTTTCTTGGGCAGAGGGCAACTGAGGAGCGTTGGAAAGACCTGTGGCGGTCCACCGCCCCAAAACCAAATTAACTTGTGATCTGTGACGGATACAACAATCGGATCCACGCGATTCTTGTACCACAGTTGACAGAAGGTTTCGGGATATTTGACCTCGTGATGCTGGGCATATAGATTGATCATGGTAAGCACCCGCACCAGCGGCGCCTCGGTCATCTTTTCTCTGTTATCATAATACGCACCAAAGAGATAATAAGTCAGATTAGCGACCCGCACCATCTGCCAGTAATCGTTGCTATAATCAATGCCCAGGACTCTGGGAACACGTCCGCAGCTGGGTTCGAAGGGTGGTCTATGGGCTAGCTCCTCGAGCGGAAACGAGGGCATCTCCTCGCGTATCAGCTTCAGCCGCTCCTGCCAGCTGGGCGCTAGCACATAATTCGCATTAATCGATGGAAGTAGAATCAAGGTAACTAGGTAACTT